ACTACAAAATGAACACTTTGTGAGCCTAGCCAAATCATCCATTTTGCCTGAGCATTTGACACTACTCATGACAGTCAGAAAAACCTTGTATCATGAGATAAACTGAGAATGGCAGCAGGTGAAAAAAGAAGGAAAGAAAACCAGAAGGAAGGCAGAGAGAGAAGGAGGGAGGGAGGGAGGCAGGGACAGACAACAAGCCTTATATGTTCTTAAATTGAATAACAGTTCCATTTAGCACTGGAACCTAAAATAAAGGCTTAAGTTCATATGCTTTACATTGCTGGCTTCCTAATGGAAACAATTTTAGTGCCGATTTTTACAATATTGATACATATAAATCTAAGTAACCAAACCCAGGTTTGACTGCTTGCAGCTGAAAAGCCAGACATGAGAGACAAGGGTTGTTGGGATGAAAAGCAGATTGAATTGGAAAGTCAGCAAACGGAGAAGATGGAGAACCAGCATTCTAAAGTACCATCCATCTAATGTCTTTCAGGCTGGCTGGAAGGTTTCTATGGGAGGCAGGATATGGGGAAACTATGCGCAGGAGTTAGAATCAAGAGATGACTGAGGAACACAGAGATCTGGGTGCCAGCAAGAGTCAGAGGAGGTTGGGAATGTCTTTGTCCTTGGTCAGGTCACAATGCTCCCATAAATCTTTAACAAAACATAATTAGTGTTTACATAATTCCCCCTTAGTCGCACAGTTAGTTTCAAAAATTACATGACTGCTGTTTCTGCATTTTATCTCAGTGTTCTAAAATTGTCCCAGCCTACATGCAGAAATGGGTAAAGGTCCCTTAAACAAAAAAAGAGTTCATGTTAGTTATTTTGCTGTTTCACTGTCATAAAAATGTGTTGTGACCCTTGCCAATATATAATCATGATGGAGAATTCTTTTTCCACCAATGAGAATAATCAGCAAACTAACTTTATAGATTATGCCCCTTAAACTCCTGCTATGTCTCTGATTAAGTGAGCCAGTTCTTCTGAAGACAGGACTAGCTTGCAAGCACTGCAACTTAAAAAAGAAAAAAAATGTTTCTCAGTTCCAATTTGCCTCCAGTTTTTATTGACAATACAGATCTTTAAAAAAACATATGACCTGGCCAGGCGCCGTGGCTCATGCCTGTAATCCCAGCACTTCGGAAGGCCGAGGCAGGCAGATCACCTGAGGTCAGGAGTTTGAGACCAGCCTGGCCAACATGGCAAAATCCTGTCTCTACTAAAAATACAAAAATTAGCTGGATGGCACACACCTGTAATCCCAGCTATTTGGAAGGCTGAGGTAGGAGAATCGGACTGCTTTTCTTCATGGCCCAATAACGAGATGCAGATGAACTGGGAAAGAAGACAGTTTTTATTTATGTAACTGGGTACAGAGAGAAGGCCTAGAAATTTTTGCCAGACCAACTCAAAATTACAACATTTTCCAGAGCTGATATACCTTCTAAGCTATATGTCTATGTGTAAGTGTGCATTCGTCTAAAGACATAAGTGATTAACTTCTTCTAATCTATGACTAAGAAGTGAGTCCTGAAGACCTTCCTCTGGAGCTTCAGTAAATTTACTTAATCTAAATGGGTCCAGGTGCTGGGGTGATTACCCTTATCTTGTCTCCTGCTAAATCATGGAGGTTTATGGAGTTCCTTCAGACCCCCAATAAACTTGTTTGTGGAGGCCTCGGGATTTTCTTCAGACCCCCCAATAAACTTCTTTTAATCCTAAACGGGTCCTGTTAAGAATTCCTTCGTAATCTTGTCATGCTTCAAGGCCCAGGAAAGGCCTAGGCAAACTCTTGGTGGGCTTGTTACATTCCAGCCTGGCTCTATCAGCTTTTAATATTTAACTTAACCCCTCAGTCAGTGCTGAAACTGTTGTTACGGAGGCCTGTGTTAGTGAGACCTGCCCTGCCACAGTAAGGCAAGGAATAAGTAAACTTAGTAATGGAAATCTAGAAGAAGAATATAATGAACCGTGAAGAATAGAACAGATATTTTGAGACTAAAGACTGAAATAGGAAAAAAAGTAAAAGAAGCAAAACTTAAAAATAAGTATTACTAACTCTAGAAGAGTTTTAAATTCTCATAAAAACTGAAAAGAAAAAGAAAAGGTGCTAAACTCAACTACATTTTTGCACTCTAAAGATATTCACCATGAAAGATGTAGGACTATAGAAGAGGATCGGAAAATGTAAGCTCTTAGGATTTCTTGTTTGTCATTATAACATCCTTGCTCTGCCCTATTCTAATACCTCTGGGAAATGTGCTAGTAAGAACCTTTGTCTCCATGTCCAAAGAAAATCACATTATTTTTTGTTGGTATTTTAGCAAAGAGTGTGTCTTAGTCCGTTCAGGCTGCTATAACAGAATACAATAAACTGATAAACAACAAACATTTATTTCTCACTGTCTAGAGGCTGGGAATTCTAAGATCAAAGTGCTAGCTGATTTTGTTCCTGGTGAGGGAGGTTTTCCTGGCCTACAGACAGCTGCCTTTTTGTGTCCTCACATGTCAGAAACAACCTCTCTCATGTCTCTTCTTATAAGGGCGCTACTCCCAATCATGAGGACGCTACCTTCATAACCTAATTACCTCCCAAAGGCGCCACCTCAAATGCCATCACATTAGAGATTAGGGCTTCAACATACGGATTTGAGGGGGACATAAACATTCAGTCATAGCAAGATGTAAGCCTAACATATAAATTCCTTTTCTCTTAATTCTACTGCTTTTCAGTATCCTAAAATATCTGAAGAGTTTCTTCTAACATATATTATTTCCCAAGTCAGCTTTAACATTCTAATTAAATTTGAGATTATCAGAAAGAAAAAATATTTAAAAATTATCATTACAAATATTTTTAAACATAATTACAAATAAAGTTTCTGTACTGTAAAAAAAAAAAAAAATACAGTGAGCTGGTATAATGGTAGAGATTTGAAGGGAAGAGAAAATAATAAAAAAAAAAAAAGACAATGAAGAGATAATGAAAATTAGTAACCTTTAACTATTAACCAGTCTCCTGAAAGAATGTGACCCAGATTAAGAATGTTTAAAAAAATATTTTATTTCATTAGGAAAAAGTGGCCTTCACTCACATAACACATCATATGGGCCATTCAAAATGGCCTGGATATTTAAGTAATTAAAGTGGAGTTAAAATTGGCTTAATAAGAGATAGCATATTCCTAGAAGATTTAATGTTTCCCAAAGGTCTATTTTCTGGTGTTCCAAGTGGATTTTCAATAGGAACTCAGTACATAATTTTTTTTGAAGTAATTTATTTGATTTTTAGCAAATGGTCCAATAGCAACCGATAAGCTCCTACTGTCTTTCTCAGTCTCCTCTGGTCTCTGGTAGCATCTCGATTCCTTTATTTGTACTGACACTTTTTTGTTTTTGGTTTCTATTTTGGTTTAGTTTGGGTCTTTCTTTCTTTCTTTTGTTCGTTCGCTTGTTCTTTCTTCTTCCTTTCTTTCTGTCTTTCTGTCTTTTAAATAAATAAAAGGCCCACAGAAACAAGAAACCACATAGAAAGGACCAAAAACAAGTTGTTCTTCTGGTTAGAGAGTTAAGTTGCAAAAGAGAAGCAAGAAATAATGCTGGCAAAATATGCTAGGAAGACCACCGGAAAAATACACTAAGAAGTTTATATCACAATCTGAAGTCACAGGGGTCATAAAACAAAACTCCAAAAGATAAAAGGTAGAAATAATAAAAATGAGAAGACGTAGCAAATGGGAGCCGAAGAAGGGATAGACTGCAAAATGCAAACAAAGAAAACACTAAAATAGAATTCAAGATAAAAAGGAAAGATTGATCTTCGTCTTTTCCTCCATAAAGTTTATTATATCTAAACTTGGACCACTACTGCTGCAGAGATTAAGCCTTTTTTGACTTCCCTTCCTTGAAAGAATTGGGACTTGCCTCTCATAACAATCAGGCAAATCACATGAATTTATTTTGTGTAGGTCTAAATACACCAATTTTTTTAAAAGATTACCAAAGTACATTAAAAACATGACCTAACTATATCCTATCTACAGGAAAGTCACTTCAAATTTAACAATAAAAGTTAAAAAAAATGAAAAATAAATGCCATGAAACATTAATTTTTTCAAAGAAAAATGGCAGAAGTGGCTACATTAATATCAGGTAAAGTGGACCTGAATGCAAAGAAATTTACCAGGGATGAAAGAGGGACATTATATCATGATAAAAATATCAATGCATCAAGAAGACATAGAAATCCTATATATGTATGCACCAAACAACAGTGCTTTGAAACACACTGGAAAAAAAAACACCTACTAGAACTGAAGAGAAACAGAAAACCCCACAACTACAGTTGGAAAGTTTAATGCCTCATTCTCAGCAATTGCTAGAACTACTAGATGGAACATGAAATAGGTGAGAGAATTAGCCAGGCAATATCTGAGGGGGGACTATTTCAATCAGAGAAGACAACAAGTAAACCACCCTAGGGTAGGAACATTTCCAGACTATTTGAGGAAAAGCAAGAAAGCAAGAACCATATAGCTGGAACAGAATGAAAAGTGACATAAAAGAAGCTATAAGAGAGATTTGGAGGGACAGATCTTCCAGGGCCACCTTTGAAAGCCAGTGTTGTGATTTTGACTTTTGTTAAATCAAGATGGGGAACCATTGGTGGATCTTAAGCCAGAGTCTTGCTGACACTTTAAAAGGGTCCCGCTAACTGCTCTACTAGGAATTGACTGGGAGGCAAGGGTGAAAGCAGAGAGCTCAATTAGAGAGACAACAATAAGTTGGACCACAGTGAGAGTCATAAAGGTGGTAAAAAGTGTCAGGTTCTTATAACACACTAAGGGATCTGTTGTCTCATCATATTTCATTGTATTCTGCTAGAAGTCGTTATGGTACTCTAGAAGAAAGAACTAGGAAATTGGGAGTGGGAAAGAACTGTATTTCTGTTCAAAAATGTTACCATTAACCTATTTTCTTGTTTTGATTTTCAGGAATACCTCAAGTTCACACTAGTAAGTTTCTAATGTATTTTTAATACATTAGTTTCTTGTAGGGCTGGGGTGAGCAAATCTTTTCTATAAATATTTTTAATGTTTTGTGTTTGTTTTTGTTTGTTGGGTTTTTGTGGTTTTTTGGTTTGTTTGTTGTTTTTGGTTTTGTTTTGTTTTGAGACAGGGTCTTGCTCTGTCACCTACCCTGGAGTGCGGTAGTGTGATCATAGCTTACTACAACCTCCTCTCCTAAGCTCAAGCAATTGTCCTGCCTCAGCCTCCTGAGTAGCTGGGACTATAGATGTGTACCACCATGCTTGGCTAACTTTTTTTTACTTTTTGTAGAAACTGAGTCTTGCTGTGTTGCCTAGGCTGGTCTCAAAGTCCTGGCCTCAAACAATCCTCCTGCCTTAGCCTCCTAAAGTGCTGGGATTGCAGGCATAAGCCACCATGCCCAGCCAAATATTTTAAATTTTATAAGCCATAAAGTCTCTGTCACAACTACTCAACTCTGCAGTTGTAGCACAAAAACAGTCATAGACAATATATAAAAGAATGAGCATGGATATGTCCCAATAAAATACTATTTTAGACATTGAGATTTGAATTTCATACAATTTTCATGTGCCACAAAATATTATTATTATTATTATTATTATTATTTCAACTGTTTAAATATGTAAAATCCATTCTTACCTCACAGGACATGCAAAAATAGCCAACATACTAGATTTATTCCATGGGCTGTATTTTGCCAACTCCCACTCTATGGTTTAAATACCCTAACTCCACATATTTATCTCTGGTAAACAATCCTGGTATTATGCTTCTTACAATGTCATGCTTTCTTATTATTTTGTGCTTTTTTTTTTTAAAGACAGAGTTTCACTCACCCAGGTTAGAGTGCCCTGGTGTGATCATGGCCCACTGCAGCCTTGACTTCCTAAGCAATCCTCCCACCTCAGCTTTCTGAGCAGCTGGGACTACAGGCACATGCCACCACACCCAGCTAATTATTTTCTATTTTTTTGCAGAGACGGGGGTCTCACTATGTTGCCCAGGCTGGTCTTGAACTCCTAGGCTCAAGCCGTCTGCTTGCCTCACAGCCTTCCAAAGTGCTGGGATTACAGGCATGAGCCACTGTGCCAGCCTATTTTGTGCTTTCTATGTAGGTTTATCAAATAACATCAACAAAAAAGATATACCTGTATTTCAGTACTTGGTAACAACTTTACCTTAAATATTTCACACCAGGCCAGGCATGGTGGCTTACACCTGTAATCCCAGTACTTTGGGAAGCCAAGGCAGGTGGATCACTTGAGTGCAGGGTTCCAGACCAGCCTGGGCAACATGGTGAAACTCTGTCTCTACAAAAAAATTATTTAAAAATTAGCTGGGTGTGGTAGCATTCACCTGTAGTCCCAGCTACTCAGGAGGCTGAAACTGGAGGATCGCTTGAGCCCCAGAAGTGGAAGCTGCAGTGAGCCATGTTCGTGCCACTGCACTGTAGCCTGGAAGACTGAGACCCTGTCTCAAAAAAATATATTTTAAAAAAAACTCGTATCAAACAATGTCAAAAAATAATGTTAGCACACATCTTCTAAGCAAGACCATTATATGTCCTATATTTTATAAATTGTAATCTTGACATTCTAGACAAAATTGCTAATGGTCAATGATAAGTAAAGGTGATTTAAAGTAGCTTATCACAAGGTCTTTGTAAACTACACTAGGCAAAGAGAAGGGGGAGGGGAAATGAAGTTTCTTCACATTTAAATAAATGAAATTTAGTTGTTAATGACGCAGATGATCCCACTCAATGCAGAAGCTTAGGGACTGGGAAGACAGGAAAGCCCAGTACCTACTGATGTGTTTGCCTTTGTCTCTTTCAGTGGACAGTTCTGGAAAAATCAGTAAGTTTGGATCATTTCCTTGCCTTACCTATTTCTGTGCCTAGGACCTGTACATTCTTTTTCCCAAATGTTCTTGTATTACAAATTCTTCTACCTTAGAGCAGTCAAAATTTCTTCAATGAGTGATTTCTTCATATTTCAGTTTTAATTCTTCTTATCTATTTTCCTTTTGTAACAAAGTATAATGGCCTTGTGTTTGATTCTAGTTATTTACTACCAAAGATTTTGGTAGTATATATTCCCAGCTAATCTATCACAACAGAGCCCAGTTCCTCTGTGCTATAATCTGGCAACAAATAATTTTTAATAAAAAATAAAATCCTCTAAGACTGACAAAAAGAGTATGTGTCAGGATGAGAGGTGACTTTGGTAATTGACCAACAATACACATTTTTCAAACTGACCAGAACAGTGAGCAAAAAACTGTTTTGCAGAAGACATGTGAAAGACTTATGAAAGAACAAAGAAAGGAAGGAAATGCAATAGTTTAAATTTCAGTAGAATTGATATTACCTACCCAAGATTTCAAATCCCTGTATTAACTAAATGGCATCCTAAAGACAATCCTCTGTGTGGAGTGGGATGTGGAGCATTGGCCAGCAACACTCCTGAGGATGAAACAGAGAGTTTTATGTTCCCTCCAAGTCCTGTTTCTAAATTCACCTAGGAAGGATACTATTGGAAGGTGGGTTCTTCTTGAGTTAGAAAATCCCCACTGATCTTTCTTTTGTGTTTTGTTTTTAGCACTGACTCCTGTGGGTAAGTTCCATATCTCTTCTCAACTCTGATATTTTACATTGCTTATTATAATTCTTTTGTGATCTGTTTCTACTCCCAAAATAGAGACCTGTGCTTCTAAGGCTAATTTGAATGGTCCTATCTTCCAGAAACTTCCAAGGTTTTTCTCCCCCCCTTTCTTTTTGAGACAGGATCTCTCTATGTTGCCCAGGTTGATCTTGAACTCCTGGGCTCAAGTGATCCTCCTGCCTCGGCCTCCCAAAGTGCTGGGATTGCAGGTGTGAGCAACTGTGCCAGGCCCCAAGTTTTTAAAGAACTACTTTTTAAGAGATTGCTGTAGAAGAGATGAAGTTCATATGAAAGGCTGCCACAATCTCTGGCCATCTTATAGGCTGTGAAAAAGAATCTCCTCCCTGATTCTCAGCAAAACATAATGAAAGGAAGATTGGTTTCTGAATTCCATTAGTTCTTTGCTGGGAATTTAGAACTTTTTTTTAGTTATAGGTGAAGTCCCTCTGAATCATATTAATGGGGGAAAAAAACTAGTTAAAAAAAAAATCCCATCTACTTTCTGTTGTCTTCTAAATAACTTTACCTTTGAAAGACAGTAGGTATTGAGTATTGACTATGTATTGTACACTGTGCTAGGCACTTACAAAAGTAGCATCTCTTATTCTTACCATATCCCTGCCTGGTAGCTATTATTATTCCCCATTTTACAGATTAGGAAACTAACTCAAATATTTACCCAAGGTTAAAGACTTCGTAAACATTGGTGTCAGGATTTAAACCCAGGATGTCCTATCTCCAAAATACACACCCTTCCCATACTAACACATTGCCTCCTACACTGAATCATAAATGCATTTTTTGTGATTAGTCATGAAACTTGACGGAATGTTTGTAAATACAAATCTACATCTACAGAAAAGCTGGATAATTAAATGTACACAAAAGGATCCTTTTAAAAATAGAAGACCACATTTAAATCAATGTTTGACTTTTTTAACTGTTTTCTGGATTCAGATTTCTCTCTATTGGGATTACTTAATATATGGCTCAGCTCTTCAAGTAAGGAAACCATATAAAACAAAGCAGAATAATAACTTTTAATTCTGTAAATATATGATCAAAAGAAGCAAATAAGACTTAAACCTAGTGAGACACATTTCAAGTATTTCAAACATTCCAAACACTGACACGAACACAAAATACGTCCTTATATTTAATCATGTTTAAGCCTCATTCTTCTTTCTCAGTTAACACTAGAAAGAGTGGGTTTGGAGGGAGAGGAAGGCAGGGAGATGAAGTTGAAAGGGGCAATTAATTTCTTTCTTTTTTTTTTTTAAATTTCACTCTTGTCACCCAGGCTGGAGTGCAATGGCGCGATCTTGGCTCACTGCAACCTCCGCCTCATGGGTTCAAGTGATTCCACTGCCTCAGTCTCCCAAGTAGCTGGGATTACAGGCGTGTGCCACTCTGCCTGGCTAATTTTGTATTTTTAATAGAGACAGGGTTTCACCATGTTGGTCAGGCTAGTCTCGAACTCCTGACCTCAGGTGATCCGCCCGCCTCGGCCTCCCAAAGTGCTGGGATTACAGGCGCAAGCCACCGTGCCCAGCCAGGAAAATTAATTTCTTTTGACTCATGGTACAAGAAACAGTAGGCATTCAGAATAATCATAATGTGTCAACATCCCTCAAATGCTCTCCTCACATAGAAAAAGTGATAGGACTGTGATCTTGTGAGTTTCTTTTACCAAAAAAAGAAAAAAAAAGGAAAAGGTGGGCTCTGACGATTGATGTTATATGTCAACTTGACTCAGAAGAACCCTAACTAATACAAGGGCTCTGAGAAGGGATCACAGGCCAAGTCTCTTCCCAGAGGTAATAAATTTTTAATGAATACTAATTTTTTAAGTTGCCGGAGAAAAATCCATTTAATCTTTTCTAAAAAATTTTTGTAAAAGATATATTCATATTGATATAATCTTTCAGACACATTCTTCCCAATTGATTTTTTTTCTATTTCTTTTAAAAAATAGAGATGGGGGTCTCACTATGTTGCCCAGGCTGGCCTCGAACTCCCGGCCTCAAGTGATCCTCCCATTTCAGCCTCCCAAAGTGCTGGGATTACAGGTGTGAGCCACTGCATCTGGCCCCAATTGATATTTTTAGAAAAAAGAGGTTAAGGTTTAATTCAGTGTTCAAAGAAAGGTTTAAGACAGATTAAATCAACAAACATCATCATCCCAGCAAACTGAGTCTCTTATTTCTCACTTCCTCATCCAACTAATAAGTATATGCTATTTTAAAATGTAATTCATAGCCTGAGAACTATAATGATTCATCCCTCTGATACTGAATAGATCTTTTACGGTCTAGATCCAATTATGCTCTCCCTGCCAACCACTGGATTAAGAACCTAAGATCAGTTTCCTAATAAAGCCCACATTCTATTTTCTACATTAAGTATCATTTAGATAGAATTGTTAATGTGATAGCTATTTCATGATATCTTTTAGCTTTAACAAAAATTAATCCAATTTAAAAATTGTAATAATTACTTTTTAATCAGCTTGAATGTATTATGATGATCCCCAAAGTCTTGATTAAATCTTTTGATTGTATTAAAATTTTGTAGTATGGGCTACTGCCTGCAATAAATGTACTTGCAGCCAGGGCTTCCAAGTCTTTATATCATGAAGATTTACACTGTAAGTGTAGGATGATTATGAGGTCCAAGAGAAGGAAAACATGTATGAACTATCTTGAAATCTGGGAGAAGGAAGAAAAGAACTTAGAATGTGGTGGAATAATGATTTGTGGCTTACTTTTGCAATACAAACTTGAAATAAAAGTGAACCTCACTTTATGGGATAGCTGGATTCCTCAAAAATAAATCCTGTAAATCTAATCTATGTTAATTAAATACAAGATTTAAAAGATGACAGCAAATATATTAAAATAAGGGTATGAAGATTCTATTAGAAGTAACTAGAGATATTTTTCAGTGTAGTGGGAGAAAGAACAATTTTTTTTTAATTCTGTGAAATAAGGAAAGGTGCAGCTAGAATAAACACTGGATGCTTCAGGAAATCCTATAATACTTAATTTTGGTTTACAAAACCTATATAATTTAGAAGGTAAATTTAGGTTAAAATGAGTCATGAAGTATTACACACAATAGCAAATAATCACCCCCAAGAGATAGTAAAACTAAAAATATTCATAACTTAAGAAAAATCAGCTTATGTGAGGATTACATTCCATGAAATTCTTAAGGTTAGGAGCTTCAATGGAAAAGTATGATCTTACCATTCCACACCACCATACCCCTAAACAAAACAAAACAGTGTCCACTGGTAGCACTGTCGAAGATCAAAATATTCTGAACTATTTTTCTCAATTTAGCAATGCTTGAAATATATTACCACTGATTTTCATTAGGAAATTGAAAATTGATTGTCTAGAATAAAATTTCAGTACCATATTTTAATGAAGGACTGTAAGGGGGGAAATATACAAAAAGGTTCAGAAAACATTACAGCAATTTTCCTAATGTTATTTTTATTTAGATGTCAACAGCTGAAAATAATAAAACACTGAACTACAACAACCCTTTTGATTTATAGTTTCTTACCTAATACAGGTGTGCCTCATTTTTATAATTGATAAAATTCTGAAGTTATGTGTATGCCAATTTTTCAAACGTCAAACCCTAAATGTAAAAAACGAAAAAGTCCCATAATTCATTTTTAAGCAAGAAAATTTTCCTGTAATTGGCCGGGGGTGGTGGCTCACGCCTGTAATCCCAGCACTTTGGGAGGCCAAGGCAGGTGGATCACCTGAGGTCAGGAGTTCAAGACCAGCCTGACCAACATGGAGAAACCCCATCTCTACTAAAAATACAAAATCAGCCGGGTGTGGTGGCGCATGCCTGTAATCCCAGCTACTGGGGAGGCTGAGGCAGGAGAATCGCTTGAATTCAGGAGGCGGAGGTTGTGGTGAGCCAAGATCGTGCCATTGCACTCCAGTGTGGGCAATAAGAGCGAAACTCCGTCTCAAAACAAAAAAAGAAAGAAAAAAAAAGAAATTTTCCTGTAATACAATCAACCACTCCTGTAAATTATTTGTTGGAAACTAAGAATGCCTTGTCTTGATTGAATTAGAGAGTTTTTTCCTGTACTATCTCATTGGGAAGTAGTAATGGCCAATATTTATTGACTGCTTATTATGTCCCATGCACTGTACTGAGTGCTTTTATTTAGATGACATTATTTAATCTCATAACACCTCTTTGAGATAGCTACTACTATTGCCCCCATTTTACAGACAGAAAGTAAAGTTTGCCAAAGGTCACCCAGCTAGGCAGGTGTGGGAGGCAGGATTTGAACCAGTCTGTCTCCAAAGGCTATGTTCCTTTAACATTTGTCTATAATATTTAAAAACTCTACAAAGTGAGCAGATCAAACTAAATATAAAAACAGTGAGTCTTTGAGGATTAACCGATTTACCTTAATAAACCCATTAAACCCAGATAGCAGAAATAGTAAACCTAGGTCTTCTTCTTTTCTTTTTTTTTTTTTTTTTTTTTTTTGAGATGAAGTCTCGCTCTGTCACCCAGACTGGAGTGCAGTGGTGCAATCCCAGCTCACTGCAATCTGCGCCTTCCGGGTTCAAGTGATTCTCCTGCCTCAGCCTCCCGAGTAGCTGGGGTTACAGGTGTGCGCCACCATGCCTGGCTAATTTTTGTATTTTTAGTAGAGATAGGGTTTCACCATGTTGGCCTGGCCAGTCTCCAACACTCCTGACCTCAAGTGATCCGCCCACTTTGGCCTTCCAAGGTACTGGGATTACAGGTGTGAGCCACCGCTCCCAGCCCAAGTCTTCTGATTCAGCTTTTATAATAAGTATTATTTCTACCATACTAAATATTAAATATTACATTTCCTCAAAGCAAGACATGCCTCTGCTCCATGGCAAGAACTCACACAACTCCTTGGTGTGGCTCAGATATTTCTTTTACCTAATTTAAGGAACCATATTACTTAAAAAAAAAAAAAAAAAAAGCAAATAAAAAATACCTAGCAGAAGCTAATAAATTCAAGTTTGTTAAATCACACAGGAATTGAGACATAACAGCTAATTTACCCGAACACAATCAAAGGACCTGAAATTTTTGCAGAGTTTGCAGATATTGCAAGAAGCAGTCTATGGTAATGATCAAAACCGAACTCTGGAGTCTGACCACTCAGGTTCAAATCCCAGCTCCACCACCTACTGATTACATAACCTTATTCACATTCCTTTAAGCATTCTGTGCCTCAGTTTCTTCATCTGTAAAATGAGGTTAATAATACCCTACCTGGTTGTTGTGAGTATCAAATGATTTAATACATAAAGTGCTTAGAACAGTGAGTACTTGGTGTGTGATAAGCACTTAGTAATTATCAGCTAGTACTGCATAATAAGATATGCTTTTATTCAATATGGAAAGCATATTTGAGTTTCCTTTTTCTATCTTGAGAAATATAATTATTGCTTCCTCCCACAATTTTTCCTTAAAATAAATTATATTTCTTTTCAGAATACATCCTCTGTTAGCCACTAAGCATTCATTAGCCATAATCCACTGAACAAATGTCAGTTCATTTACAATACATTTCCTTTTCTCTCATTAGTCTTCCAAATTATTGAAAATAGTCCAGAATTTGGCTGGGCACAATGGCTCACGCCTGTAATCCCAGCACTTTGGGAGACCAAGGTGGGCAGATCACGAGGTCAGGAGATTGAGACCATCCTGACAAACATAGTGAAACCCCATCTCTACTAAAAATAGAAAAAAAAAAAAATTAGCCGGGCTTGGTGGCGGGCGCCTGTAGTCCCAGCTACTCAGGAGGCTGAGGCAGGAGAATGGTGTGAACCCGGGAGGAGGAGCTTGCAGTGAGCGGAGATGCGCCACTGCACTCCCACCTGGGCAACGGAGCAAGACTCCGTCTCAAAAAAAAAAAAAAAGAAAAGAAAATAATCCAGAATTGTATAGATACTTTTATTATTTTATGTATAGAGAGCCATCATTTTAGATAACTTGAGATTCAGAAAAATTTCAGTTTGTCAGTTTTAAGACAAAAAAAGGAACCAGTATCAAGGGGAAAAAAATAGAAATAAAGAGAAAATACTTGCTATCTAAATCATGCCCTTTTGTTGTATGCTCAGTTATATTAACAGGTTACATGGATGAAGAACTTGCAAAAAAATCTTGTTCCAAAATCCAGATTCTAAAAAGTGGAGGCACTACAAGGTCTCAGAGTAGCCAAGAAGAAAACAAGGAAGCACTAAAGAATGATATCGTATTTACAAATTCTGTTGAATCCTTGAAATCAACACACATAAAGGAGCCAGAAAGAGAAGGAAAAGGCACTGATTTAGAGAAAGACAAGATAGGAATGGAGATCAAGATAGACAGTGACGCTAGAATACCAAAAAGACAGGAAACCCAACTAAAAATCAGTGAGATGAGTGTACCAAAAGGACAGGGAGCCCAAATAAAGAAGAGTGTGTCAGGTGTACCAAGAGGACAGGAGTCCCAGGTAAAGAAGAGTGAGGCAGGTGTACCAAAAGGACAAGAAGCCCAGGTAACGAAGAGTGGGTTGGTGGTATTGAAAGGACAAGAAGCCCAGGTAGAGAAGAGTGAGATGGGCATGCCAAGAAGACAGGAATCCCAAGTAAAGAGTGAGTCGAGTGTACCAAAAGGACAAGAAGCCCAGGTAGAGAAGAGTGGGTTGGTTGTACTGAAAGGACAGGAAGCGCAGGTAGAGAAGAATGAGATGGGTGTGCCAAGAAGACAGGAATCCCAAGTAAAGAAGAGTGAGTCGGGTGTCCCAAAGGGACAAGAAGCCCAGGTAAAGAAGAGTGAGGCAGTTGTACTGAAAGGACAGGAAGCCCAGGTAGAGAAGAGTGAGTTGAAGGTACCAAAAGGACAAGAAGGCCAAATAGAGAACAGTGAGGCAGATGTGCCAAAGGAACAGGAGGTCCAAGAAAAGAAGAGTGAGGCAGGTGTACTGAAAGGACCAGAATCCCAAGTAAAGAACACTGAAGTGAGCGTACCAGAAACACCGGAATCCCAACTAAAGAAGAGTGAGTCAGGCATACTAAAAGGACAGGAAGCCCAAGAAAAGAAAGAGAGTTCTGAGGATAAAGGAAATAATGATAAAGAAAAGGAGAGAGATGCAGGGAAAGATCCAGGTAAAGAGGAAAAAGGTGATAAAAACACAAAAGGTGGCAAAGGAAAGGACAAAGTTAAAGGAAAGCGAGAATCAGAAATCAGTGGTGAAAAACCAAAAGGCTCAAAAAGGGCGAAGGCAAGTAAAGGAAAGAAGTACAACAAAAAAGCGGAAGAGTAAGGATATGTTTTTTAAAGGCCCATAAGACAAGTGATTATTATGATTCCCATCCTCCAGATACAAACCATATCCCAGCCATTGCCTAAACAGATTATAATTATAAAATCCCTTTCATCTTCATATCCCAGATTCTGCTCTTCAGAAGTGTCACCCTTTTTAATCTCTCAGTCACAAACCTCAGTTTCCAAATATTTGTTTTATAAGTTAATATGTATATGATTCCGTCAAGAAAGACTGGATACTTTCTGAAGTAAAACATTTTAATTAAAGAAATATATGGTAATATCCTTTGACAAGTATGTCTATTATAGCCTCTCCAACCAATCAACCAGTAACTCCTCATGGCAGGCCTAATGTTTGCAAGGCGCTGGTCTAGCAATAAGGGGTGTACAGAAAAACACAAGTCAGAGCTCCTGCAATCAAGTAGCTTACAATATATATAGTGATATATGTGTACATGGCAATTTTTTAAGTAAAATCTAAGTTACAAAAGATAGTTTAGATGGACAGCATAATCTATCGTGGGATGAGAAAGTAGAGGTGATAACTTCCTGGGGAAGGGAGTAGTGGTATATGATATGTCACAGCAGATGGATAAGATGTTGATATGCTGAGTGAATTACAACAAGTAAAAGAAAGGCAAAGGGTTAAAGGCTGTCATGCCATGCTCCAGGTGCAGTAGGCAATTTTGCTGTTACGGCAGTTTGAAAGGGAGAATATAAAGGGATTTGAAAAACAAGCCAGGAATTTATATTTTCCTCTTCAGGCAGCTGGGAGCATTCCTCAATGTTTGAGACACAGAGTGAAATGAAAAAGGTTGTATCATTTTAAAAATAGTTACTCTGTGATTGTGAAAAATAAGATTAAAAAAAGAAACATCACAGGTAGTAAATCTAATTAAGAAGTACTTGGAGTAAGTAATGGAAAGAGAATAAATAGAAGAAAATTCAAAGAATCACTACTTCATGATGACTGCATAGGAGTAAGGAAAAGTAAAAAAAAAAAAAAAAAAAAAAAAAAAAAACCAATAGTTTCAAACTTTTGAAACTAGGTAACAAACAAACTAGGAAATAGTTTGGGGGACAGGGAGGGAATAACAAATTGTTGTTTTAAGGGGAAAAGCAATAACATTTGTCATTCAAGAGATATCTGGAATTAGATGAGTACAAGCAATAAGAGTGAGTTCTTCAAAGGAGAAAGTACAGGACTAACAAAAGCAGAAGTCCAAGGACTGAGTTTGTTATATGTAACATATTGAAGAAATTTAACTAAGGGATAGGAAGATACAAGGAAAACCTGTATAGTGGAATGTTCCAATAATTAAGGAAGATTAGAGTTTTGAGAAAAAATGAGTGATTAAAGGATAGCTGAAACTTCAAGGAAAATAAGGACTGAAAGAACACTGTAGTTGGTATTTGGAGATGACTAATGAACTTCTCAAGAGCACTTTCCAAAGAAGGTAGCTAGGAGAAGGAAGGTAAGCAGGAAGAATATAGAGATACAAGTAAGTAGCTGTGGGATGTGCCTTTCAAACATTCAAAAGAGTTAATTTATTTTAGTCTATTTTTAAATAATCATTTTTAGAAATTTTACTTTTATACTATTCAATTCTGTGCTGGTTAGCCCACACCCTGAATATTACATTCAGCTCAATCATGGGAAGTGGATAAACTAAATGCCTTCAGGAGAGAAAGACTCAAGTGAGCAGGAAGTTGCAGAATTCCCCTGGGAAGTCAAATATGAGGAAACAATGAGAATTACGTTCAAATAGGTGAAAGTTCATAAGGGATTAGAATATTTTGTATAGCCCCAAAGAAATGAGATCAGTGAATGGAAGGTACAAAGTAACAAATTTTATCTTTGTAATAAGGAGAAGCAGAGGCCCAAAGAGTTTAAGCAAGAGTTTAAGGCTCATTCAGTAGGAATGCCACGGAGGAGACGCAGGAAACAGCTGAGTAATTGGAGTAAATTATCTTTATGGTCCCTTCCAAATAGACTTCCTGAGAGTCTATAATTCTAGTTATCGAATTCTTTGGACTAACTATATGTCTTCCAAGGAATCTTTCCATACTGATATGCTATTCTTTAGAGATGTTTGATGAAAAAAGGAGAGAAACCAGACATTAGTCTCTACCCAAAGTGTAAAATGTTTCATAAATATTTCAGGCTACCCAACCACAACCTTAAAAGAGTATCTCCACAATTTCTAGCACAATCTAATCCACTGTATGGCTGTCTACTGTGTTCTCACAGCCCTGCCACAGGTATGGAAGCCTATGTTAATTTTAAAAGTCACAGAATCCTCAGGTCTTTGATGAGCTGCATAGGTTTAGCAAAACCAAGTTGCCAGAGAGAGGGAGTGAGAGAAAAGAGGATGGAAGACAGATATTGAACATGGATTTTAATATTGTAAATTGCTTTTGTCATCTGCGGAAAATACACATTTAGAGATTTTACCAGCCTTAGCCAGCATATCTTTTACACACATTATGCTGTTATCAGGGAAAATTTTTGACCAGAAAGATTTTCACATAGTTAAAAGTATTAGATTTTCATCATACTCATGTCATTTTTTTCAGCCTCTGTGGTCCATCTGACAGCTAACTAGTAGGTTGTTTTGTTTGTTTGTTTGTTTGTTTGTTTGTTTGTTTTTCCTCACTCTTTACCCAGGCTGGAGTGCAGTGCTATGATCTTGGCTCACTGCAACCTCCTCCTCCTGGGTTCAAGCGATTCTCGTGCCTCAGCCTCCTGAGTACCTGGGATCACAGGGGTGCATCACCAAGCCCAGCTAATTTGTGTATTTTTAGTAGAGACGGGGTTTCACCATGTTGGCCAGGCTGGTCTCAAACTCCTGACCTCAGGTGATCCACCGCCTCAGCCTCCCAAAGTGCTGGGATTACAGGCGTGAGCCACTGTGCCCGGCCACTACTAGGTTTTAGAAGGGTATGACTAATGCAACTTCTCTCAGATTTCTGGTAAGAAGCAGGGACCCTGTCAAGGCAATTACTAAAAAGCAATAGATAGGCTTCAGCAATCCAGCTCAGCTGACTCCATATCTGTGTGAATGTCCCACTGAAGCAAGAATTCAGAGAGAGAGATCTATAGAAACCTTCCTGTATCTTCTCCCTAACTTCTAACTTGGGGTCAAAACATTTGCACTCCCACTAGGTCTTTGAAGGCAAGTAAATCATACAATAGAATACTCCAACTATAAAAATTTTGTGGCCAGGCGCGGTGGCTCAAGCCTATAATCCCAGCACTTTGGGAGGCCGAGACGGGCGGATCACGAGGTCAGGAGATCGAGACCATCCTGGCTAACACGGTGAAACTCCGTCTCTACTGAAAAATACAAAAAAACTAGCCGGGCGTGGTGCCGGGCGCCTGTAGTCCCAGCTACTCGGGAGGCTGAGGCAGGAGAATGGCGTAAACCTGGGAGGCGGAGCTTGCAGTGAGCTGAGATCCGGCCACTGCGCTCCGGCCTGGGCGACAGAGCGAGACTCCGTCTCAAAAAAAAAAAAAATCTCGTGGGCCATTTTCTAAAGGCCACTGAAAAACTGACAAATTTAAAGCAATTGTTAGCCCTCCTGTAAAGATACAGATGTGGAAATCTTAAAGGACCCCAAAAAAAGAAAGGAAAAAGGACAAGCTATCAAAATGACACCATGTTTAACAAAATGATGAAAATTTTAAGAAAATACATAAATATGTACTTCTAAGATAGTGGCAACATAAAAGTAGGAATGTGAAACTTACCTTAAGAAATCAATAATAAATTTTGTTTTGCAAATAAACTAATACAAATGTCAAATGTCCTGTTCACAAGAATGGAATGGAAGTCAATTCAATTAGTCCTTTTTCATTTAGGAGCAGAACATAGGAAAGAAAAGCAGAAAGGTGAGTTTAGAGATAATGAAACTGAATGAGAAACACAAAATATTAGGAAACAAACAATTTATGTAAAATCAGTTAATGCAGCTCCTATCCCAATTAAACACTCCCTGAGTTAGTATTGCATTAAAAATGCAATTTTCTGGCCAGGCGTGGTGGCTCATGCCTGTAATCCCAGCACTTTGAGAGGCCGAAGCAGATGGATCATGAGGTCAGGAGTTCAAGACCAGCCTGGCCAACATGGAGAAACCCTGTCTCTACTAAAAATACAAAAATTAGCCAGGCGTGGTGGCGCACACCTGTAGTCCCAGCTACTCAGAAGGCTGAGGCAGGAGAATTGCTTGAACCCGGGAGGCAGAGGTTACAGTGAGCCGAGATTGTGCCACTGCACTCCAGCCTGGTCAACAGAGTGAGACTCCATCTCAAAAAATAAAAATTAAAAAATGCAATTTCCCATTTTCCCCTAAATATCTCTCACCCTAGGTTATAACTGACATATCAAGGAAGTGAATACAGGGAACTGGGAAAGGGGACAAGATATAGAAAGAAAAAACAGGATCCAAAGGAACAAAAGAATAAGCTGAAAAACTGATCAAAATATTCAGTTTTATATTTTGATGAGATTCCTTTACTTTCCCCCTTAAAAACAATCAGGAATAGAAAAAAAACAATTAGTGTTCCTACACTCTACTTGAGAAGTTCCAATTGTGGTTTTGAAGAAATCCAAGCCTGTAATTCTAGTGTTTCAGGAATAAAGACACTCTTATCTATCATCATCCAGAAGCTTGAGCACTTGCCAAGACCGGGAAGTCAAACTTGAGATGCCATACTACAGATTATACACATTGTAAGCTAGGTCTCAATAAATTTTCTATTTAAATCTTTATTAAGTTTCTCTCTTCAAAAATTAAAAACTCACAGTATTCACTTTCTATAAATCTCTCCACATCTTAATCCATGTTTATATAAAAATGTATGCAAATATGAGTATATGTAGGAATTTTTTTCTAAAAATGGGGTCACACTATACACATAATTCTGCAACTTGTTTTATTCACCTAACAATACATCATGGACAACAACACATCAATCTAACATTTGAATAGCATAGCATCCAGTAGTGTGTATGAATTGCTGCTTATTCAACCATTTCCTTAAAGATAGACATTTAGCTTGCTTCCAGCCTTTTGCCTTTGGCTAAATGATTCTGCCATTGCCAAATGATACTGCAATAAACATCTCTATATATGATCAGCATTTTATTTCTCTAGGATAGATTTCCAGAAGTAGAACTGCCAGATCAAAAGAAATGTATATTTTAACGTTAATGGATATTACCTAATTACTTTTCCCAAAATTTGTAATAATTCACATTCCTACAGGAATATATGAGAGTCCTATCTTCCCCATACTTGCACTGGTGCTGCAAGTGGTAGCTATTTTTAATCTTTGTCTATTGAGAAAAGTGGTATCTAACTGTTCCTTTAATTGTATTTTCCTGACCACTAGTGAGACTAGTGGTCATAAGTTTAATGGTATTTTGTTTAATGGTATCATAAGTTTAATGGTATTTTGAATTTTCTCTCCTGTAATTTAATTGCTTTTCAAACTGGTGGTTTGCCCTTTGTCTTACTCAGTTTTATGCATTTTTGCATATTAAGTTTTTATCTGCCATTTGTGCTGAAAATATGTTTTCCCAATCTACTCATTCTTTCTCTACATCCAATTCATCAACCTGTACCCTAAAATTGTATCTTGAATCTGACTACTACTCATTTCCTTCATCAAGAAGTCCAAACCATTGCCATATCTCACCTGCATTGCTGTGCCTGCTTCCAAACGGAGCTTCTCAATCTCACTCCCCAGTCCCAACAGAATCGTGCTTTCAAAATGTAAATCAGATGAGGTCACTTCTCTACTCAAAACTCTCCAAAGACCAACCCCCATCAGTGTAAAAGTTGAAAATTGTTTTTTGTTTGTTTGTTTGAGACAGGGTCTCAAGCTGTTGCCCAGGCTCAAGTGCACTGGCATGATCACAG